AAATGAAACATACGGGAGTACATTATGGAAATGTCTCGCATTGCTTCAAAACTAAAGACACTCAAGTTGAATTATATGAAAGCTTGTTAGTGCACTTGGTTATTCCATAATGTGCAGTAAAAGCATAAATATGCATGTTTATCTAATTATGACACATCATGGAATCACAAATTAACTCTTCCAAAAAATAATTATAATTATAATCGAAAAATAAAACTCAAATCATTTAAGTTTTATTATAAATATTCTAAACATCATTTTAATATCTTTTACTGTATAATCCTTACAAATGGAACTGATATCAGAATTCTCATATTCTCCTTATCACAAAAAATGTCCCAAAAATATTCATGTATTCTACTAGGTTATGTTCTAGATCAATTTATTAATTTTAATAAATACGTAGCTTTTCAACAAGTTCCGTAACCCTTGCTTTTCTAACATTCACTCTAAAGATACAATAAGTGTGCATATATCCCGCAATATCTGATCAAACACAAAAATTGGAAACAAGTCACAATGTATCATCTAACCAAATCAAAAATTCACACAACTCATGAATGTATATAAAACGCATATTTTTAAATACTTTAAGAGTATTTTTCATTTTCCAAAAAAATGAAAGCACTTAAAAAAGTAGTTCACACTAGCCAAATATCACTTAATAAAGATTCTTAATTTTATAAAAAAATTCAGAATTTACTCCAGTTAAAAAAATATATTTTTAATACTTTTTACAAATTTATTTCAAACATTAAATATAAAAAAAATTACTTTTAACCATCCAAAAATTAATTTTACTTATACTGAAAAACAAAGAATAATTCAAGGACCAATTTAGAATTTTTTGTATTAAATTGAGTTCCGCACGCGCTCTCACGTGTGGGATCAAACTGCAATAATTTTTAAATTAATAAAAAATGAGGGTGCGTTAGCGCCACTACATCGTCCATGGTCATCCCTACTAACATCGACGTTCAGTTCATCTGTGTAGTTAGATTTTACAAAATCAATGTTTAAGGCCACGTTCGGGACATCAACAGATTTGTTGGAGACTGAAAATGACAAAATAAAAAAATCATACAAAATTTCATATTTTCAATCAAACATCGAGAAATCATAATTGCTTCATTTCGAGGATAAAATTAATGATCTTTATATTATTGGAAATGTCTTGAGAATGTCTATTCAACCATATCAAATGGGAAGCATAAAACACCGTGTAGAATAAGTTATAATATGATGAAGTTTCGAATTTTATCAATTTTCATTCAAAAAGTCAGATTTACATCAAAATTTCGGGAGGTGATAACTTCTTCATTTTAACTCCAAAATTTAAGTTATTTATATGGCTGAAAAGCTAATTAAAATACCTTTCTAACCATACTAATTTTACTGCATAATTATTAATGTATAGAAAGTAGTAATTTATCAAAAGATTCCCCTAAAGACCACATAAAGTTTCAAAACTTTACATACAAGATTCATAATCTAATTATATTATGTAATGACACATTTAAGCATGTATTACAGCAAGGAATTCAACATTATGGCTTTGATACCAATAAAGTAATTCGAAGCATACTTTAGTATGAATTTCGGGTCAAGTTTCTTACTTGAAATGACGAGTTCCAAGATCTTTATGTGGTGAATTACCTTGAGTTTCTAATCTCCTAAATCTACTTTTTCTTGTTCTCAATCTCGTTCACAATGAATGTGAATTATTATCTACAATCTAAATGCCTAATTTTGTGAGTTTTCATGCCATATATGTGGTTCTATGCATGTTTCTATTTTTGAGTGATTTTCATACGAATTTCATTTATTTTCTTTCAACTTTCTCTCTCTTCATTATTAGACAAAAATTAGATGTTTTATGAGAGTTATGGGGAGTTGTCGGTCAAATCACTCATTCCAACTCTTTTAATATCTTGTGGGTCGGGTCCCCCCATATGGGCGACCAATGACCCATATTTTTTAACAGCACCTTTAGGAAAAAAATTCCTCCCAAATCTTTAAATCGACTTCTCAATTCCAAACCTTTACTTATACTAAACGATTCATCCTTTTAACATAATTCCGTGGACTTTAATTTCTTCATGCAGGATTCACAAGTGAATTTTTCTTAGGGTGGCAAAACATTATGTTAAAACTTCACCCAATTTTTAAAACTTAGTTTTTTTTTTTTTTTTTTAATTTCATTTCAATTTCAAAAAATTGAAAGAAAAGTCGTTTTGTTAAATCTTCTCAAAATTTGATGGATGCACAACCATTTAATGAAGAAAAATGTCCAAAATGTTCGAAGAAGAAGACACTACACCTTACAACAATTTGTTTCCATT